TGTGTAATTGAGAATATCCTTTCCTCAAAGGGAACCTTACCAAACACATGAAGTCCAAGGCCCACGGCAAGAAATGCCTGGAGATGGGTGTGTCAGAGTCATCTGTGGATGAGCTGGAGTCTGAGGAAGCAGGTAGGGTTGCCAAAAAGAGTTTTTGTGGTTTGATGGGCATCAGGGGTGTGAGTGACGATATGTAGCTGCTGTTTGATCATTTAAGCCATCTTCCACAGTTCTCAGTTAATGATTCCTTGCATTCAGGCGTAGTTTAGTGTGTTACATTACATTCATATGATACTTCACACATTGAAAATGTAGATGGCTTGTGGTATAGTGAAGTATAAATTTCAAAAGCTTAAATTGCTCACCCTTTGGGCTACAGACTAATTCTAGAACATATTCCACCATATCCAGATATTTTTTTAGCTTGTTTGCTTCATTGGTGCAAAAGTGATGTCAACCTTGCGGTGTGCTTTCAGACTTGAAAGCTGAAAGAAGCCAATGAAAATAGTTTGCTATAAAGAGAAGCAAGACTGACCTTCAGTTTACCGTGTTTATATAAAGCCAGAACTGAAAATTGCCTTTCTCCCTGTCTGTCTCTCTCTTTTACTTTGTCTTTTTCTTGACATTTTTCATTCTCAGTGCATCTAAGAGCTACAAGGACATTTCATTCAGCCACATTCCATTCACTATATTTTAAATGTAGTTGACGAATGAAGCACTGCTCAAAAAAATTTTTTTTTCTTTTTGCATTTGAATGTTATATATAGCTTTCCATGGGGGATTAATGAGAGTTTATCAGAGGAGACTGGGGATAGTTGTCACAAGAGCTTTGAGTCAAAATGATGCATGTATATTTTCTTGATTTTTGCTGTAGCTGTTTGATGAATGAGTGAACACAATAAAACCACATTTAGTATACATTCAGACAAATATCAACTATATAATGAAGAATTTTAACGAAGGTTTGAATTGTGTTTTCGGGACAAGGTAATTTTTTATAAATGTCAAGTTGAGGTAAGTTGCCACGTGCCTTTCGTTTTATGCTACCTGTCAAAAGTTTGGGGTTGGTAATTTTTTAATAATATTTTTAAGGATGTATTAAATTGAGCAAAAGTAATGGTAAATACATTTATAATGTTACAAAAAATTATATTTTCTGTTCATCAAATCCTGAAAAAAATACAGTTTACACAGAAATATTAAGCAGCACAACTGTTTTAAACATTTAATAGTAATAATAAATATTTCTTGAGCACCAAATAAGCATATTAGAATGATTTCTGAAGGATCATGTGACCAGTTATTATGGCTAACTGGAACTAAAACTGAAACTACAATTAAAATGATTGTAATTTAAAATGTATTGATTTAAAATAAAAATAAAAAATATGAAATAAACTAGTTTAACTTGATGTACTGAAATAAACTAAAACTGAAATAAAAATGTATGTATAGAAAGACGGACGGACAGATAGATAGATAACAATAGGAAAGCGATAGGAAATAGAAAACAATTCTTTTAAATTGTAATATTTCACAATATTATTTTTAACTCTATTTTTGATAGAGTTATGCCCTTGGTGAGCATAAGTGACTTCTTATCAACCCCAGACCTTTGAACAGTAATACTAAAATGAGTCTACAACTAGAAATATTAACTGGATTAAAAAGTGTGACAGCTGACCTCGATCTCCCCTTTGGTTCATTTTTAAGTTGTATCTATTTATTTTGTGTGTTGACTCCTTTGTTACATTTATGAACGCATTCATTTCTGTCCAACAGGAGGCAGTGAGGAGCGAGTGTGTGAGTCAGAAGAACAGGAGGGGCACCAGTTCTCTGATGTTGACGATTCTGAAGCAGAAGATGATGAGGATGAGGAAGAAGACTTCTCTTCCCACGATGAACCATCTTCAGCCTGTTCCACTGATACTCGTCAATCCACAGGTGACCTCTCTGAAAGTGGCCAAGGCTCACAGACCGAGCCCGCTGACCCTACAGCCAAAGAGGAATACTCCTCACCCCACAGACCGTGGCCTGGCATACGAGCCACATCTCCAGGCAACAAGAGGGCGTCGTTCTCCCGCAAGGGCTGGGAGGTTTCCCCGAGGACCTTCTCCCCTAGCAGTGAAGGCTCTCCCCTTAGAAGCCTGTCTCCAAGGCTTGAATTGTCCTCACCCAGCCGTCATCTCTCTCCTTCCCCAGAGAGGGGCCTGTCACCCATCAGAGCCCTCTCCCCTTTCAAGCCTCTCTCACCTCTGAGGCCTGTATCCCCGGCACGGTACAGGAGCGCAAGAGCTGTCTCCTCTCATATGCCCCTAAAGCCCCAGCATCGGCCGCACAGCTCACCCGCAGGGCTCCACTGGGAGCCTAGCACACCAGCTACTGACGGTCAAAAGGTGGGTAACGCAATATAATTTAAATAATGTTTTCAATATTACGTTTCTTCTCGGCACTTTCAAAGTAAAATGTCCAGTGAGTGAGCTAATAGCACAAAAAAGAGATGAACATGAATGTGGCAACATTATATTATGTTGGTTGTTATACGTATTGCAACAGTTCGGAAAAGAAAGGCAAATGTTGTGTTACATTTGAAAATAACAGCACCTAAATTACTAAACTCTGCCTAGCAAAAACTAACATGAGATAAAAGTAAAAAAAAATGTATGGCAACATTCTATGATGTTGGTTGTTGTACATATGGCGGGAGTAAGTGAGTGCATTGTCATGTTTGAAAATAATTTACCACCTACTAAACCCTACCTAGCAAAGGCAAATGTTACGTAAAAGCTCAGTTTTCTTAGAAACAGATGAATGTTATTGTGGCAACATTTTATTATATTAGTTGTATGTATCACGGCAAAGGCAAACCTGAGGTAAAAGCATTTGATAGAGCAGTTATGCCATTTTATCTTACTTTTACAAGTCTTTTTGTTTCACGGGACTCGCACCCAAGCGTTTTGCATCCTAAGTTTAATGCTGTACCAGCTGAGCTACCAAGGAAGTTTACTTTGTTAAAAAGACATACATTTGTAGCAGTTTATGTGATTAGTTTAGAAATGATGCATATGGTAAAAAGTGTTTTGAAGTCATAACATAGTATTATGCAAGGAACTGCATGAAAATAATAATCTGCCCCTGCCCCAGGGGGCATAAATTGTGTGAAAAGTTGTTGGTGTTTTACTGCCATTAATTTTCATTCTGCTGGAAACTGCAGTGAGTCTTTCTTATTTATTTATTTTTTTATGCTTTTTTTTTTATTTTGACAAGAATTTAGGTAGAGGCACATTTTTCCTGTCAGCCTGTGTCGGATTTTTTTTAATTATTATTAAATGAATGTTGACTAATGTTTTTTTTGTTTTTTTTATGAACAAAAAGTGTAAATTACGATGATAATCGGAAAATATTTTAAACTCAAACCAAAAAAATGCTACATTAAAAATATATACTGGCTAGGAAAATATGATGAAAAAAAAAATATTAGTCAAAAGACAAAAACGATGAGTAAAGCAGTTTAAAAAATGAAGACTCCGTAAAACAAAGGAATACAGGTGCATCTCAATAAATTAGAATGTCGTGGAAAAGTTCATTTATTTCAGTAATTCAACTCAGATTGTGAAACTCGTGTATTAAATAAATTCAATGCACACAGACTGAAGTAGTTTAAGTCTTTGGTTCTTTTAATTGTGATGATTTTGGCTCACATTTAACAAAAACCCACCAATGCAATCTCAACAAATTAGAATACTTCATAAGACCAATAAAAAAAAACATTTTTAGTGAATTGTTGGCCTTCTGGAAAGTATGTCTGTGTGCATTGAATTTATTTAATACACGAGTTTCACAATTTGAGTTGAATTACTGAAATAAATTAACTTTTCCACGGCATTCTAATTTATTGAGATGCACCTGTATATTTGTTTGATTGCAATGCCATGTCTCCCCCTACAGGACAGGCCTGGTACTCAACCAACTTTACAGGAGCGTATGCCCCCGGATCCCTGCCTGCTTTCCCCATCCCTACGCTTCTCTCCAAGTGAGTCTTTCCCTCCAAGTCCTGTGACGCCACGGACAGTGGACTGCATGTTTAGCCACCTTCCTTTACACTCCCAAGATCAAGCCCGCATGCCCTATCACATGATTCCTATTGGGGGCATCCAAATGGTGCAGCTCAGACCCCGATCACGCCCCAAGCTGGAACGACAGTCATCCTCCACCCCTTCGCCCACCTCTCCCAAAGAGGACTCCCTTTTTTCCCTCACCAGGAGGGATTACCCATGGATCTCGCTTCCAGAAACCAGTCCGCAAAGGACTCTGGCGGACAACAGGACAAAAAGCCTAGATGGGGGAGCCAGCCGGTCTGACCTGTCTTGTCCCAGTACAAGCTTGACGTTACCCAAACTCCCCCCTTCACAACCAGGTGGAGGGGAGCAACGGACTGCAAAGGTCAGAAAGCAATATGGCGACTCGAGCTCCGCCACAAAGACTCGCACCTTCGGTCCCGAAACATCCAGGAAAGCAGCGGCAGACAGCGATGAAGGAGCCGAGAGGATCTTGCAGGGGGAAGCAGCGAGTTCCTCACGTGAAACGACAGAAAAGTCTGTAGCGGCGCCACTCGGGGGAAGTGGCTCTTTTTCAGAAGGATGTTCAGGATCTGGCAGTGCTCCTCAGAGCCAGGAAGGTGATCCAGATAGCACTTAAAAGCCTCTGTGCACAGTGGTGAAATGCTTTCTACTGCTAATACTACTATTGTTTTTTGTAATGCGCTTATTTTTTATATACAAAATTTTCAATACTATTGGTAACTTGGTAAATGTTTGTTCTGCAATATTCAAGATTGTAATATGATGCACTTTTTTTTTTTCCTTGGAAAAAATATTTCTGTAAATCGATTGCGTCTGTCCTTCCTGTATCTTTATTGACATTGCAATCTTAATATATCTATTTGAATATGTATATGTAAAAAAAAAAGAAAAAAAACATGTACTTGCAAAACATTAAGAATGGGTATGAATACATTTCTATATGACCAAGGTGAAAACTTAAATCGAGAGTAATTCCAATATTTCGTCTCTTGTCCAGTATTCTAGTGATGTGTGCCTTTTTCTGTCCAGATTTACTGCTTGAAGTGTCAAAGATAAAAAAGGCTGTGAGTTCTTTTTATGAATAGATTTTTTTGGGGGGTGTTTCAAATGAGCTGGTATTTGAAGAAGAGAAAGGATTTTCTTTATACGTTAGGGTAAACGAGACAGGCGTTGCTGTTATATAGACAAGAAACAAAGGTTTCAGCGGCAAGCCTTGCAGGGAAATTGCACTGAAGTCATATTTTTTTATAATACAAGTGATTAAATGATTAGATAAATTGTCTCTGTACAGATAGAAAGTCTATGGTCCATATTTATTGCCATGTGAAAATATGAAAATGCCTATGTTTTGTTTACTTTGGTTTTCAAAGGGATTTCTATTGTCATTTTTATTGTTCTTTACACTTTTTGTTAATAGTTAGTTTTTTTTTAGTTACGACCTTAAGACTTGAAATGAAGAAACTGGACAGGCTTTTCAGTGAAGTCGGTCAAGTTCTGGGTGGATCAAATGCCCTCCAAATTTGTCAGACATTTTGCATTTCTGAACCAATAAAAGGTACACCAGGAATTACTAAACCTGCTTATGATGGTGTCCAGTGTTTTGCGACCAGCAGATGGCGCAGTCTGTTCATTCATGCCACTTTCATTCTCATTTTCTAGCGCTCCCACTGGGACCTGAGCAGGTGGACTTATGTGAGCTGTGTGGGAGGCATTCATGGCCTGTTCCAATCAGGTTTTATAGTTTCCGGAAGAAAAAAGATAGCAGTGTAGAGTCAAATAACTGGGCTTCCGCAAGAATTTCTATTCCCAAGCGAAAAACATTGGAGTCTGAGACGTGGCAGATCAACTGTTCACTTCCTAAAGGCAGTTTGTCCAAGGCTATTTCAGAAGTGTCTCTTTTTTTTTAGTTTATTCTTCTTGAGACTTTTCAAACTCAGTGACGTAATATTTTTTGTTTTATCCATGTAGAGTTCCACAGCTGTGTGTGACCAATGTGTTTGCTGTGGAGAACGTTGCACAGACCTTGAAGCCACTCTATCATTTCATCAAATTTTTATATGAAAAGATTCCAATACAAGCTGTGCTATCGGCATAAACAGTAGGACATAATGTGAAATGTTTCCTCATTCACGACTAATTTTATGCAGACTATCTTATATTAAAGAAACTGGACAGGCTTTTCAGTGAAGTCGGTCAAGTTCTGGGTGGATCAAATGCCCTCCAAATTTGTCAGACATTTTGCATTTCTGAACCAATAAAAGGTACACCAGGAATTACTAAACCTGCTTATGATGGTGTCCAGTGTTTTGCGACCAGCAGATGGCGCAGTCTGTTCATTCATGCCACTTTCATTCTCATTTTCTAGCGCTCCCACTGGGACCTGAGCAGGTGGACTTATGTGAGCTGTGTGGGAGGCATTCATGGCCTGTTCCAACCAGGTTTTATAGTTTCCGGAAGAAAAAAGATAGCAGTGTAGAGTCAAATAACTGGGCTTCCGCAAGAATTTCTATTCCCAAGCGAAAAACATTGGAGTCTGAGACGTGGCAGATCAACTGTTCACTTCCTAAAGGCAGTTTGTCCAAGGCTATTTCAGAAGTGTCTCTTTTTTTTTAGTTTATTCTTCTTGAGACTTTTCAAACTCAGTGACGTAATATTTTTTGTTTTATCCATGTAGAGTTCCACAGCTGTGTGTGACCAATGTGTTTGCTGTGGAGAACGTTGCACAGACCTTGAAGCCACTCTATCATTTCATCAAATTTTTATATGAAAAGATTCCAATACAAGCTGTGCTATCGGCATTTATGCAGACTATCTTATATTAGATTATTACTTTTAATCAGTTGCTCACACTACTAAATAAGTGTTTACTGAGGATCTTTGTGAATAAGAACAGACAATGTTCTGTTTCAGTCTGGTTTCCTTCAATAAGAAATGCAATAGAAAGAATGATATTGAGCTCAGTTATATGATCGCACCAGGATCAAGCTTTGTGTAATTCTCATTCTCATGCCATAAACCAAAAATGTAAGTAGTACAATCATTAATCAATAGAAATCTACAGGTTAAATGGTCAAGCGATTAAAATCTGAATGTGTCTGAATTCCACAACAATGTGTTTTATGTTCAGTCTCTGTTTTTGCAACAGTCTGACACTTGAGATTGTCTTTATACTATGGAAGCCCGTTTCCGCCACTGAATAATTTTTTTTTAAGTAAAAATGCTACTTGGTTAACAGAAAATTACTATATGCAGAAAAACTACACTGTTTTTGCAGAATTGTTAATTTTTACTGAACAAAATTAAAACGATAAAAATTATATATTTTTTCTATACGAATTACCATATAACTCATGGTAGAATTGTTTATTATGACATCAACCTGAATTCATCTTTTTTTTTTAAATGCAGGTCTGGCTCCCAGATTCTGCTGCAATCCTTTATATATAACCAGGAATCA